TCTTTTTTCTGGGAGTTCTAGATCGGCTGTGATATCTCTCTTTTCTGGGAGTTCTAGATCGGCTGTGATCTCTTTCCTTGCTGGGGGTTCTAGATCGGCTGTGATAACTCTCTTTTCTGGGAGTTCTAGATCGGCTGTGATCTCTTTCCTTGCTGGAGGTTCCAGATTGGCTCTGATCTTTCTCCCTGCTGGGGGTTGTAGATTGTCTGCGACCTCTCTTCTTGCTGAGGGTTCTAGATTGTCTGCGACGCCTCTCCTTGCTGGGGCTTCTAGATTGTCTGTGATCTCTCTCCTTGCTGGGGCTTCTAGACTGGCTGTGACTTCTTTCCCTTCTGGGGGTTCTAGATTGGTTATAACTTTTCCCCTTGCTGCAGGTTCTAGACTGGCTATGTTTTCTCATCTGGCTGGGACTTCCCTTCCAGGTACGACTTCTTGCCCTACTATGATTTCTGTTCCAACTGTGACTTCTCATCCTGCTGTGGGCCCTCTTCCGACTGCGACTTCTTGCCCTTCTGGGTGTTCTAGACTGGCTGTGACTTTGGGTCCTGGGGGTGCTAGACCGGCTATGACTTCGGGTCCTGACGGGGGTGCTGGACCCGCTACGACTTTGCGTCCTGGGGGCACTGGACCGGCTATGACGTTGGGTCCTGCTGGGGGTGCTAGACCGGCTGTGATGTCGGGTCCTGATGGGGGTGCTAGACCGGCTATGACTTCGGGTCCTGGGGACACTAGACTGGCTGTGACTTCGAGTCCTGGGGGTACTAGACCGGCTGTGACTTGGGGTCCTGATGGGGGCGCCAGACAGACTGTGACTTCGGGTCCTGTTGGGGGTGCCAGACAGGCTGTGACTTCGGGTCCTGCTGGGGGTGCTAGACCGGCTGTGACTTTTGGTCCTGCTGGGGGCGCTAGACTGGCTGTGACTTTGGGTCCTGCTGGGGGCGCCAGACAGGCCGTGACTTCGGGTCCTGCTGGGGGCACTACCCTGGTTGTAACTCTGGACCCTGCTGGACACTTCAATGGGGCTGGAACTCCGTTCCCTGCTGCAGCTGATCATCTGACTGTAACTCTTCACCCTCGATGATGATGGAGACTGGCTGGAACCCTTCTCCTTGACGAGAGTTCTAGTGGAGCTGGAACTCTTTGCTGTACTGCTGGTTACAGCCAGCCTGGAACTCTTCTCCATACTCGTGGCTCCTGGTGGGCTGTAGTTCTTCTCTCTGCTCATATCTCTAGGCTGGCTCTCACTCCTTTCCTGGTTGCCAGTTCTAGGCCGGCTGTAACTCTTCCCTCTATTCTGTTTTTGCTGGGAAGTAGGAGTTCTCATCCTGCTGGGTCTGGCACCATGAGTTCTCATCCTCCTGGGAGTGCTGGCCCTACTGGGTGACCTCTTGGAGCTGTGGCTTCCCCTTCTGCCAGGAGTTCTGCCCCGGCTCTGCGTGCCCCTCCGCTGGTGGTGTCTTACTCCACTGGCCTTGCTCAGTTTGCTGGCCCTGGTGTCAGTGCTGGCCCTGGTATCAGTGCTGGCCTTGCTGGATGTTCTTGCCCTGCTGTGGACTCGGGACTTGCTGCTGGGCTGGTTAGAAGGGGCTGGCTTTGTACCTGCCCCTTTGGTAGACTTGGAACTGCTCGGGCTCGTGAGCAAGTTGGGGGCTGTCAGTGGCTTGGTGGGCACTGAGGAGCTGTTGGGCATCTCTGCTTTGGTGGTCTTCAAGGAGGCGGGAGGCTTGGGAGACGCTGTGGGCATGGAGGGTCCAGTGGACGCTGGAGACATGCTGGGCTTTGAGGATCTTGTAGCTGGAGAAGGCATGGTGGGCACAGAAGGGCTGGTGGTCCTGGAAGTCATGGTGGACATGAAGGACTGGTCACTGTGGACGACGACCTCATTGCCTTTCACAGGCCAACTGCGTGAAGTCATAGAGGGCATTGAAGACCCTGGAGGGTGGGTGGTGTGAAGTCAGAGGTCAGAGGAGAAAGAGGGATGGGGCCCCTAGCCCAAAGCCAGAGATATTTCCTCTGTGTTTTGCAGCCATTCAGCAAAGGTCTCCTGAGGCTGACTTATGCTCAGCATCTCTGGGAACACAGAGATGGGTCAGACTTAGGTCCTGCCTTCTAGGAGTCTCCAGACCCAGAGGGTTACTGCCCAGGTGATCAGGGTGTAGGGGGGGCAAGGGCAGGGGGACCCCAAAGGAGAGAGACACCATCCACCTGGGAAGTCAGGGAGGGCCTCACAGAGGAGGTGTTGTGTGAGCTGGGGCCTTAAAGAGGAGCAGGAGTTTGCTAATAGAGAAGGAAAAGGTCGCCCCAGGTGGGAGAAGAGCAGAGGCAAGGGCCTGGAGCAGGGAGATGAGGGCCTTGGGGCCATCCTTGTTCATTCAACCCACACGTCCTGTGCTGGGCAGTGTTGGGGACCCTAAGGTGAGTCCGACCAGGCCTTGAGGGGGTGGGTCCTAGTCTGATGGGGGAGACGTACTGGGGCCCAGATGGCTACAGCCTCTAGGCCTGTGGCAAGGGGAGATGCCAGGCCAGGGGGAGGGAGCAGGGGAGAGACCTCTAGGGGATTAGGGGTGACTTCATAGAGGACTGACCCTGTGCTGGGTCCTGAAGGATGAGCAGGAGGTCACCAGGCAAACAGAGTGGGGAACAGCATTCCAGGCAGGGGGACCAGCCCACGTCAAGGCCTCAGGAAACGTTTATTAAATAGCAGAGAGACAGCAGGACAAAGGCAGGAACAAGTGAGAGACAAAGAGGAGAGCTGCAGGGAGGGACGTTCAGCACACATTTCTAATCTCTTCTGGGGCGGGTGATGCCGGGTACCCAGTGGTGGGTCAGACCAGGCCTGCCCCTGGTCTGGTGGGAAAGGACAATGGACAGGCACAGCCCTGAAGGCTTGGGGCTAGGACAGCGGGAGGGCCAAAGAAAGGGACTGGCTCCCTGGGCTGAGGAGATCTGGGACGGCCTCCTACTGGGTCCTCAAGGATGACGGGAAAAACAAGGGCGAGACATTCCCAGCAGAGGGAACAGCGTGTGTGAAAGCCTTAGAAAAGGTTTGTCAGATTGAATGCCAGGCTCAGAAGAAGTGTTCTAGATGCTAGGGACGCAGCAGTGAACCAGACAGAGTCCCTGCTTTCTGGGACAGGCAGTAAACACACAAGTAGATGTTGTATATGATAAGTTGAAGAGAAAATTAAGCAGAGTTAGGGGCGTAGGGAGTGCTGGGGAGGAATTGCTGGTGGGACACGGTGACCAGGGTGTCACTGGGAAGGTGACACTTGAGCAGAGACGTGGCCCAGGGGAGGGAGCGAGCCCTAGTCCATCTGCAGAAAGGGTGGCAAAGGCTCTGAGGCGGGTGCATGCCTGGGGTGTTGAGCAACAGTGAGGAGCCCGGTGTGGCTGGCTCACTTTTAACTGGATCCCTCTGGGCTGCCTGGGGACACTGAGGAAGGGGGGCCGGGGTGGATGCAGGGCTAGGCTGTTGCAGTCCTAGGAGATGCTTTGGCAGGCTCCTGCCACTGCGCCTGAAGAAGCTGGTGTTTCCCACTGTGCTGCTGTCGTGGGATGCCCCTGCTCCCCAACCCGTGCCTGTGTGTGCACCCCCCCATAACCACTGCTGCTGTCACTCTTTCCTGTACATCGACTTCAATTTCTTTTCCTTTCTGTAATCGGAACTTCTCCTAGACATGTCCTTCATACCCATGAAATCACAGTAATATATCTGTACTTAGAAATAAATATTTTAACTCACTTAACTAGGTATTTATATATAAAACCACATCTATCAAGGTACACGTATATGTGTGTTTTAATTTGCTTAAATACCTGTTCACGTGATCAAATGTTCGTCCATCTCCCTTCAGGGATCCAGTGTAGGCCATTACCCGTATTGAGCTTTCCCTGTTAGAGCTGTGCCACTGGAGGCAAGTGAGTCGCCCGACCTCTCTGTGCCTCAGTGTCTCCATTTGTGACTTAGGGATAATAGTACCTCCCTCAAAGGGTTGTTATAAGGATTAGGTGAGTTAATATATAAGAACAGGGTTCTTTTTTTTTTTTGCTGAGGAAGATTCACCCTGAGCTGACACCGTGCCAATCTTCCTCTATTTTGTATGTGGGTTGCCACCACAACATGGCCACGGATGATGGTGTAGGTCCACACCCAGGAACCGAATCTGGGCCTCTGAAGCGGAGCACGCCACACTTAACCACTAGGCCACCGGGGCTGGCTAAGAATGGGATTCTTAAACTTCTAAACTGTTCTTAAAACAGCAGTGGATGCTGCTTCTGTTGTTTTTATTATTCCTGCTGCTACTTGGCCCTCATTAAACCCCTAAGGTACAGTTCTTGCAAGACATTCATTTCCCTGACACCTAGATTCTGAGCACCTACTGTGTGCCAGGCCCTGTTCCATGTGACGGGGATGCATCTGTGGGGAAGGGCAGGGCTGTGCCCAGGCTACCCTCTCCGTACTGTGGTGAGTCTGATTAGGGCTCAGGGAGGGCACAGCCGGGCACAGCCCTCTGTCCTCTGATGTTGCTCTTTTTCCCCGTCCACCCCTACAGGCCCCGAGCATTCCTCTGACTCCGAATACACTCTCTCAGAGCCGGACTCCGAAGAGGAAGAAGATGAGGAGGAGGAGGAAGAGGAGACCACTGACGACCCTGAATATGATCCTGGCTACAAGGTGAAGCAGCGCCTGGGCGGGGGCCGGGGCGGCCCGTCCCGCCGGGCCCCCCGTGCAGCCCAGCCCCCGGGCCCCCCAGCCCAGCCCTGCCAGCTCTGTGGCCGCTCACCCCTTGGGGAGGCCCCACCAGGCACCCCACCTTGCCGGCTCTGCTGCCCCGCTACAGCCCCCCAGGAAGCGCCAGCCCCTGAAGGCAGGGCCCTCGGGGAGGAAGAGGAGGAGCCGCCTCGGGCTGGGGAGGGCCGACCAGCTGGGCGGGAGGAGGAGGAGGAGGAGGAGGAGGAGGAGGAGGGCACCTACCACTGCACGGAGTGCGAGGATTCCTTCGCCAGCCTCGGGGAGCTGCATGGGCACTTCATGCTGCATGCCCGGGGGGAGGTGTAGGCAGAGCCCCCACCAGGCAGCTTGGCAGAGGGGGGTGGGAGGAGGGGACTGAGGAGATTGGGGTGGTCGCCGTGGTCTTGGGGGATGGGGTACCGCCGATCTGTGTCGTCTTAGCAGTAGATGTGTGAAGGCCAGAATAAAAGCCAAATTCTGTGTGTGTCGGTCCCATGTGTATTTGGTGTCTGTGCATGTGTACACTCGAGTGTGAGGCATGCACCTGGGCATTTATCCCACCATCCCCCTGGGCTCCTTCTTGGGGGAACCTTTGGGTCATTGTTGCCACGATAATTAACATTTACTAAGTGCTTATGTTCAATGTGGTTTCCGTGTATTTACTCATAGACCCCATGATGGACAGGCTGAATACAACAGAATTTTGTTTCTAGCTCACATAATAGTCCAGCGTGGGTGTTTCAGGTGGGCGGGTAACCCTTCTCCATATGGTGGTTTGGGGTGCAGGCCATCCCTTAAGCCTGTGGTCATCCACGTGGTCATGGCCAGGTGGCCTTGGCCTGGGTCCTGCTGGCGGAAGAGGAAAGGGAGCCCGGGAGGGACACATGTTCTCTCACAAGCCCCGCCAGAAGTGGCACATAACTGCTTCCAGTTACCTCCCTTCCCGAGAGATTAGTCACATGGCCACGGCTCCCTGCAAGGGAGTCTGGGAAAGGTGGTCAGCCAAGTGCCTGGAAAGCAGCGAGGGGTTTGTGGAGGACCGCTAGTGCTCTCTGCCACCTCGTCTAAGAACCTTCACAAAGAGGACTTGAGTGACCATCACAGCTGTGCTTCCTGAGCACCTCCTGGGTGCCAAGCACCAGTCCAGGAGCCTTGTACATATTGACTCCTAGAAGCTGTGCATCTAGGAACCTACAAAAATAGAACCTTAATTATAATTACAGCTGCCACTTTCCCAGTGCTCACAGAGTGCTGCATGTGATTTGCATGAGATCATCAGGTCCTTAGAATAACTCTGTGAGGTAGGGGCTGGGATCTGTTAACTCATTTGACAAGTAGCTTTTGAGGACCTGCTGGGTGCTAAGCATTGCGAAGACACCGGTGGATAAAATAAAATCCTGTCCTCCTGGAGCTTCCGTGGGGGCGGGAAGGGGCCGCTGGTGGGCACAGACAGTAAATGAGTAAGATGTAGCATATGCTGGATGGTGGTAAAGGCTGTGGACAGTTCTGGAAGGGGGTTGCAATTTGAAATAGTGTGGTCCTCCCTAGGAGGTGACGGGGAACTAAGCAGAGACCTGAAGGAGGGAGCCCTGCACATGAGTGGGCGGGAGGAGGCAGGAGCCTGCCGGCGTGTCAGGAAGGCCAGAGTGGCTGGAGCAGAGGGAGGAAGGGATGAGGTCACAGGGGAGCAGAGGGCCAGCTCATGACGGCCTTGTCGAAACTTTGGCTCTCGTTCTGAGATGGGAAGTAGTAATTCACAGAAGTTTGGCACCGAAGCTCCTTTGAAAATAGAAGCCTAATTATAATGATAGTTATCATTTACTGGGTATTTACCGTGTGCCAAGCCCTATTCTGAGGCACTTTACGTGTGTTAACTCATAGAAGCTTGGCAGCTAAGAATCTTCCAGAATAGAACCTGAATTACCGTAATGACCATCATTAAGTCAGCGCTCACAGTGGACCAGGCCCTGGGCTAAGCGTTTTATATGGACAGTCGCATCGGATCCTTATGAGGTAGGGACTGTTATTTACTCATTCGTTAAACAGTGATTTCTTGAGCACCTGCAGGCTACAGGCACTGTTCTGGGAGCTGGGAGCAGAGCGGTGAACACAGTGAACTAAACTCCCTGCCTTTGTTGAGGTTATATTATGATGGGGAAGACAGACAGATATGTAATTAGATATGTAAGTCGAATGTATAAAATGTATAGAATGTCAGAAGGTAATAAGTGCTGTGGAGGAAAAGGGAAGGGGGTGGGGAGGCTTGTGTGTGTGTGAAGCAGTTACAAATAGGGTGGTCAGGAAGGCCTCACTGAGAAGGTGACATCAGAGCAGAGACCTAGAGGAGGGAAAGGAGTGAGCCATGTGGTTGTCTGTGGGAACAGCAAGTGCAAAGGCCCTGAGGTTGGAGCCTGCTTGGGATGTGTGTGGAGGAGCACACGTGGCCACAGGCTGTTGCTGAGGAAGGCGGGGGGGAAGACTGGTGGAAGGGCCAGGTGCGTAGGCCATTATACTGACTTTGGCTTTTCCTCTAAGTCTGAGTCATTGTCATAATCCTTAGAGGCGCAGGGGCTATTATCATGACCATTTTACAACTGCTACGACTGGGGCACAGAAAGGTTGAATTGTCTGCTGGAGATCACACAGAAGCAGAGCCCGGGTTTGATTCCAGACAGGTTTGATTCCTGGATGCAGGGTGCACATTCTTAGCCACTGAGCCACCCACCAGAAGTAGCAGTCTGTGGTCCACAGCCACCGTCTGACTGGCAGGAGTGTATTTGATCTCCACAGAGTTACTGAGGTGTTATAATCACATCTGTTACCAATATTTAAAAATGGGAGATTTCACATAAAAATGGAAGTTTCTGCCTTCTCTTGAAAAATTGTGAGCTCTAGATTGCTAAACCCACAATCCCTTGGGGCGGTAGTTTGCTGAACAGGGACATCCTCTTAATGGGGCACTCCCTCCCGTATGCTCAGTCCCCACCATCTGGTATCTGGACCCCTCACACCCTGCTCGCTTCACTAATTTATGGTACCTACATGGCCCAAAGGGTATTTGCATTTTGATGCCTGTTACCATATCTTAGACTAGAGCATCTTTCAAAACCCACACTTCATCCTAGAAGCTCAGAATCTCAGAACCTGACATTTATCCACTCTGAACTGAGACTTGTATAACCACTATGGCTTAGCCTCACTGAATCTCAGAATCATCAAAGGAGAAATTCACAGCTCATTAAAACAACATGGATTTTTTTTTTTTTTTCCTTTCCCCAAAGCCCCAGTAGATAGTTGTGTGTCATAGTTGCACATCCTTCTAGTTGCTGTATGTGGGATGTGGCCTCAGCATGGCCAGAGAAGCGGTGCATCGGTGCGCGCCCGGATCCGAACCTGGGCCGCCAGTAGCGGAGTGGGCGCACCCAACCGCTAAGCCACGGGGCCTGCCCCACAAGATGGATTTTATTTCCCAGGGCAGCATGCCTGAGCCCTCTTCTGCCCTAAGACAGGGCTTTCTAAGCACAGATGTAGAGAATTATCCTTTCATCAGCAGAAATTCCTAAGGATCACGAGAGACTAGGAATCAAGAGACCTGGTCTGCTGCCAGTGGGTTCGTTTAGTTCCTCAGGGCCCAGTCAGGCTATGGAAGCCAAGCTAGGAATCCCAAAGAGAGGGTTTAATACAGGGGATTGGTTACATGGGTGTTAGAAGGCTGAAAGCTGACACGTGGGAAAGGGAGGTAACCGAGAAATCAGTGTCTGCAAGAAGCCCCCACCTCTAGGACTGGGATACAAAAAGAGTGGGATTACCAGAACCCAGTAGGAGCTTGGAGGGCAGGCCACGTGCGGCTGGAGCAGGGACCAGTGATGAGGTGCCACGCAGGTGGTGCTCAGACCTCAAGAGGGACACGCTGCCTTCTGCTGAGAACAGTACTGGACCCCGAGCTGCTGCTGGAGGGGTGCCAGCCAGACCCCAAAGCAAGGGGAGTCCCTTCCCTGTCTTCCTACTTCCTTCTGCCCATACCTGTCAGGGGCAGAACTTAAGGAAGCCTGCTCTCGAGGGAGTCTGGGGAGCATAGTTCACAGAGCAATGTGGAAGAGCTGGAGGCCGAGAGACACTACGTAAACTGCGCCCAGTCAAGAGTATTTTTTGAGCCTCCGTGGTAAGCGCTGTCCTAGGTGCTGGCAATGAAGCAGTGAGCCAGACAGGACACTTGCCCTCAGGAGCTTGGATTCCAGCATAAAGATACGGATAAGGACATAAATAAAAGTGTGATAATTCCAGGTGTTGAAGAGTGCTAGGAAGAAATTAAATCAGGGTAAGGGTTGGAGGTGCTTCTTTAGCCAAGCAGGTCGAGGAGAGCCTCTCGGAGGAGCTGGCACATGTTGAGACCTGAATAATGAAGAGGCAGCCTTGCGAAGTTCTGGGTAAGAGCACTACAGGCAGAGGGAACAGTGAGTACAAAGGCCCTGAGGCAGAAGCCAGCCTGGCATGTGTGGTGGGAGTGTAGTGAAGATAGAGCAGGGAGGGAGTTGAGATTGCTGAGTGGGCTGGGGCCTGGTCATTCTTGGGTATTGTGGGCTTGGGCACGGTCTGTGGGTGTTATTTATGGGATGTCAGTGGAGGCTTATAAATGAGGAGTGCCCTGTAGTAGAGACTCGAGGGGGCTGCAGTGGTAGCAGGGGCACAGTCAGGAGAGTGGGGCTGGGGTGAGGAGTAGTCGGGCTCAGGAATTTAGAAGTCGAGTGCGCAGTTTACTAAGACGATGGCAGTTGTGGAGGCAGGAGTCACGCTGACCCGTTTTAAGTTTCCCATTCGTCATCCAAGTGGCTGTATCTCATGTAGGTAAGTCTGGGGTTTGGGCTGAAGATAAAGATTTGGAACTTCCCAGTGATGCTATTTAAAGTCTTCGGAATCTGTGACATCTGGAGAGTGTAGAGAGAACAGGAAGCCAAGGGTGTACTTGGGCAGGCTGCTCTCTACCTGGGGAAAGAATGTGGGCTTAGATCCTTAGGTTTGGGTTTGGTGGAGCCACTGTGGCAGTGGTGTGAAACATCTGACTTAGAAACTTCTGGGCTTTCACCAGGAGCCAGAGAAAATGTTTGGCTTTAGTGAATTTGATAACTTGGAAAAAAGTGATGGCCAACCTCCTCCAAACCAGTTTCCCCATAAGTCACCCCAGCAAAGAGATCCAGGTTAGATCCCTTCCCCAAATCTTAGACACACACACACACCCCTCACACACACACACCCCCCACTCCTGCTAGACTCCTGCTAGAGGTAGTATTTCCCAGGGCGGGAATCCTGCTTCCAGGCTGAGAGTAGGTTGTATGTCTATCAGTTAGACCAGGGGTCGGCAAACTTTTACTGTAAAGGGCCAGATGGTAACTATTTTAGGCTTTGTGGGCCATACGGTCTCTGTTGGAACTACTCAAGTCTGCTGTTCTATGTGAAAACAGCCATAGACAATACGTAAATGAACGAGCATGACAGTGTTCCAGAAAAACTATTTGCAAAACCAAGAGGCAGGATGGACATGGCCATAGTTTGCAGATGTCTTCCTTAGGCTATAAATTATGCTGCATGTGACAGAGACCCAAAATAATAGTGGCTTAAACAAGATAGAGGTTTATTTCTCGCTTACAAGACAGTATGCAAGTGGATGTTCTAGGGCTGGTATAATGGCTCTGCTCCATGAAGTTGACCAGGGACCCAGGCTCCTGCTCTCTTATTGCTCTGCCATCCCATGTGTTGCTCTCATGGTCCAAGATGGCTGGATACCATGTCCACATTCCAGGCAGGAAGGTGGAGGAAAGGCATGTCCCTTTCTGAAGCTTGAGGACTCCCACTAGGAATTTAGCCAGAACTCAGTTACATGGCCACATCTAGCTGCAAGGGAATCTGGGAAATGTAGTCTTCGTAGCCACCATGTGCCTAGCTAAAAATTGGAAGACAGCTATCAGTTTCTGCCACATCCGTTTCACTTTTGGGCTTTAAAAACATCCCTCAATTCAAATAGAGTCTCTGATTATTGCATGCAGGACATTAACCACTCCAGGGGCAGGGCAGGTAATGCAGGAAGGTAAAACTGGCCTGGTTGGGCCTTTCAAGAGCTGAAAATAGGATCTTAACGGGAAATCTCCCACTGTTGGCCAAATACAACAGGAAACAGAAGGTATCTCTGTTTGATTCCAAACCAGTTTCCACACAGGGCCGGGCCAGCTCTGCCCGGAGCTCCCCCTCCCCGTGCCCTTCTTATGTTCTCTGGGAATTCATGTTCAAAAGCCAGTTCCTTGTTTAGACATTTTAATATAGACCTTTTCTGTTTTTAGATAGTATTTCTGTCAGTTTATTGATGCCATCTCTCCTACACATATAAAAAATATTCCATGGCCAGAATGGTACATCAAGTTATTTAAATGGGCAATAAATCATCGGGGGTGGGGGGAAGGCAAAGCCATCCAATGCCATGGCCCCTCCTTGAGTGGGAAAGGCTGGCAGGGGTGGGAGGCGACAAGGACTCAAATTGCAACCCCACATGACTCAGAGTACAGCTCCCAACATTGCAGCCCCATCCCCAAGGGCCCAAGTTGCTCCACATCTGGGACCCATCAAGTGGCATTATAGGCCAGCAACACCTCACCTTTCCTGCCCCCATTCAGGCACAACTCCAGGACAATCTGCTCCTATAGCCCACGGCATCCATCTGGGAAGAATTAAAGATGATTACACAATCTGCAGCTAGCTGTGATTTCAAACTATTTAATTGAGAATGAGGGAGATACAAATAACAATTTTCCCTCTCTTGCTCATTTTTTTTTAAACAAAAGATCTCACTGTTGTCTGATTTCACTGTTTCCCTGAAAGCCTGTGTCCTCCAAAGACTGAAGCTCTAATTAAGCATCTTCTGGGTCCTCTTTATCAGGAGCCCTTTGCCTTTCCAGGGAGGGGAGCAAATCCCTCCAAGGCCCCCATCCCATATCAGAGGAGGGTCCTACCAGCCACAGAGCCCCCATTGCCCTGGGGAGGGCTTAAGCTGCACTCAGAGCTCCCCTCGGGCATGCCGGATGTAGTGTTGATGCAGCCCAGCTTCCTGGGCAAAGTCCTGACCACACTCAGTGCAGGCGAAGGGGCCAGGAGGGGTGCGGGCCTCGTGGGCCTGGCGGTGCCGCCTCAGAGAAGCAGCCAGCCCAAAGGTCTTGCCACAGTCAGGACAGGCGAAGGTGGGCTGGGCAGTGGTGGGTGCAGCCGGCAGCGGGGGCCTGGTGGCTGGACCGTGGCTGCGCTGGTGGGCGATCAGGGCCTTGGAGGAGGGGAAGGAACGGGCACAGGTGAAGCAGACGAAGAGGGCCCCCTGCAGCTTCTGGGCCACGAAGTCCGCTGGGTGCTCCCGCTTCATGTGACGCTCCTGGAACTTGGAATCAGCGAAGGTGATGAGGCAGCGGGTGCACTGTGGGACCCCCAGGTGGCCTGAGGGACGTGGGGAGAAGTCGGGGGAGGCCAGCAGGAGTCTCCAGGAACCTCTCCCAAGCCCCAGAATCATGCCAACAATTAACATTCAGTGCTTACTATGTGCCAGGTTCTATGCCAGGGCTGGACAGCAAGCAGTACAGGCAAACTCTTATTGGACCTGTTTTATGGGTGAGCAGACTGAGGCTCAGAAAGGTTAGGCAACTTGCCCACAGTCATGAGGCTAGGAAATGAAAATGGTGGAGTCAAGACTGGAACCCAGGGAGTCTGCCCTTCCAGCCAGACTCCTCTGGGGCCAGACTGCCTGGAACCGAGTCCCAGCTCTGCCACTTCCTAGGCAAGTACAACAGGTTCCTCATCTGGCAAATGGGGTAATAACCCTCTCAGTATCTGCCTCATAGGGTTGTTGGAAGGAGTACATGAATTTTTTGATATAAAGTGCTTAGAACTTAGAACAGTGCTACACAGTGGTCTGCAAGTATTACTATTGAGAAGGAGAAAAGCAGCCCGACAGCTGGGAGCTGGCCTTGGTGTTCTCCTGTTGAACATAAACGGTTTCACAGAACATCGTCAGACAAGGCCATGGTGTGACTAAGACGCAACAAGACAACAGGACCACACCATAATAACGTCTGAACGCAGACACAACGGTGAATGTTGTCCAAACCACAGAAATGACCAGACGCCCCCCATCCTGGCTCACACGAGTGCCTGCTGCTGCTGCAATCAGCTTGCACCTCGCTTGGTTCCACCCTCCTTCTAGATAAGATTTATTAAGATAGCCAACCATACAATTGCCCCTGCTTCCTGGCAGCATCCAATCCAGAGCAAAACCCCTCTTCCTTGAGCCCTCCCCATATCACCTATCACAAGCCGAAATCCTATAATAAGTTCTTCCTAACGCTCTATTACTGAGGTGCCCCACAGTGCCCCCATGGTGTGTGTGCACTTCCTCAGTACAGTGAGCAATAAACCCAACTTGTGCAACTGCAGGTGTGTTCTGGTGGTCTCTGGCTGGAGGGCATTGATAACTGCCTCCAATTGTTACAAATACTTCTCTTTGCCACAGTTCCCTCTTCTGCAAGTGATAGTAACCAATTTTACAGGGTCTGTTAGGAGGACTGAATGGGATAACGAATGTTAAGCTCTTAGAATGCGCCTAGCACATCATAAGAATTCAGTAGAAGCTGTTGCTATTATTATATGTCATACTGGCTACCTTCATTAATATCAAGCTTTCCCCTTTTTTGTCACTAATCCCCATAACAGCCCTGTGAGGTGAGCAGTGGCAACCCCTTTTGACTGATAGGGAAACTGAGGCCCAAGTCACAATGGAAGTCTGGGGCAGAGTTGGGACTGGAACCTTAGGGCTCCTCTCACAGTCTCTGCCCTTTCCCAGCTGCATCTCCCACCCGAAGCCTCTTGATGCCACTCTGTCTCTCTGAAATGCATCCCACTCATGCTTATGTGGACAGAGCAGGGTGGGGACATCTGAGCATAATGGGGGTGAAGGTGGGGAGTGGCACTTCCTGGTAGGGCAGGACCCCAACAGGCAAGTCCCTGCAGCACCTTGGACACTAAAATGCTATAGAAATCCTCTTAGCATCAGCTCCTGCACCCCACCCTCCTCTGGCCAGCAGTACTCACAGATGTCGCCTCTTGGACTGCCGGGACTCCTTTCCCTGGACGAATCCTGCTGCTCCATGATCTCTTTGGGGTGCGGGTCCTCCATGGTGGCTGGGACCCCTCTGGTCAAGAGAGGAGCACGGATGATAGAATAGTAAATCAAGTGAAGTCGCTCATCTCTCGCCAGCCTTAGAGGGCCCGCTAATCCTATGACCTTTGACATAGAGGCTCTCCTTGCCAGCCTTGGACCCCCCCACGAGATACCATCTCCTTGAACTCTAACCTGATGGAGCTCTCCCTAGAGAAGCTTCAACCCTCCCAAACCATTTGACTCCCCGGGGTTTGTGACTCCCCTTAGAGCCTTCTCACCTGTGTGAGACCTATGACCTTCTACATCAAACTAACTCCCTGAACTCAGCGCAGGACCCTTGATCTTTGACATCAGCCTCATTCCCGTTTCTCCCACGTGTCTTGAGGCAGGTAGTGGTACCCACGCTTTAGCTCGCCTCTTCCCGGGAGACATCCTTCTCTGACATCCTGTAACTCTTGTTCCACCCAGAGCCCCCGCCTCCCACGCGCTTTCAGCCTCCGTGTCCCGCTGCTGCCAGCACTGCCCTTGGCTCCCTCCTCCCGAGGCGGGTAGCCCAGGCCTCTGCTTTTTCTCCAGACAGCACAGGGCTGCCTTTCGTTGCGCCTGTCAGTCGCTCGTCACAGCGCCGCCACCCGGAGGGAAGCAGGACAGGGCCCACCGAGTCTCCAAGTCCCGGTGGTTTCCACGCCCTTTCGCCTGTCGAGCCTCTCGAAGCCGAGATCCTGGACTGCCATCCGGCAATGATGCAGTCGCGCCAACCGGCCCTCAAAATAGCGGGTGGGGTCCTTCTCCGCACTGGGATGCGTTATGATGACGTTGCAAGCCACCGGTGCCGTGAGGACCTAAGCTCATTGCGCAGGTGTGGCTGGGCGCTCCTGGCGCGCAGGCGCTGTGGCTCGCTCATTGTTTTAGGCCCTGCGGCAGCCGGAGCTGGGGAGCGAACGCACTTTGGCCGTTCTGCGCAGGCGCTGCGAGGGGCTGCGCCCGGAGATCACGCTTCCAAGACACACCCCCTCCTAAAAGGAGTGACGTCAGGTTAGAGTCCCCGGGACGTGTCTGGACATCCCCAAATCCCCGCGCTCTAGGCTCTTCGGCCTCCGTCCGCCGGACTCCAGGGGCGGGGCTGCTCAGCGGCTGACCAGCCTCCATCAGCTGCGCTCTCCCTTGTGCCGGCCGTTGGCTCGGTTAGTGATTCGGAAGGGGGTGGGGGGAACATCTGTACCCTTGAGAGAGGAGAGGGCTGGAGGCCGAATTTCTGAGTTTTCGAAGCAGAGAGAGAAACATATCTAGGAGAGCGGAAAGGACGCCTGGGTCCCTGGGGAATAGGGTCTGGGCGCCGGATTCCTAGGTCCCTGGGAGTGACACCCGAGAATGGAAGAAGGGAACAGGGTGGAGGACTGAAGTCTGACGCCAGACTGGGGCGGCTAGAAAAGACAAAGGCTGGGGGCTCCCTGACCCCAGTCTTCCCCACCCCTTGCTTTCCAGCTATGCCTCCGCCGCGGGGTGACGTGACCGCCTTGTTCCTGGGGCCGCCGGGCTCGGGAAAGTCTGCGCTGATCGCAGCGCTGTGCGACAAAGCTGTGGAGATGGTAGAAATCCCCGACGGACGGCCGGACTCCGGGATCCCCAGCCTGCGAGCTGCGGGCCCAGGCCTCTTCCTGGGCGAGCTGAGCTGCCCACCCGCAGCGCCGGGACCCTGGGCGGCCGAGGCCAACGTGCTAGTACTGGTGCTGCCAGGCCCCGAGGGGAACGGGGAGCCCTTGGCCCCCGCACTGGCGGAGGCAGCGCGGGCCGCCCTGGCCCGAGGGACCCCGCTGCTGGCTGTGCGGAACCTCCGTCCTGGGGATTCACAGAATGAAGGCCAGGCCCGGGATCAGACAGCGGCCCTGCTGGACAGCGCGGGGTTGGGGGCCGCGGCTCTCTTCGTGCTGCCGGCGGACTGCGGCAGCAGAGACGGCTGCGAGGAGCTGGAGCGCCTGCGCGCGGCGCTGCGGAGCCAGGCGGAGGCGCTGCAGAGGTGAGCGCAGATTTTCTGGGTGGGTTGGGGAGGCCTGGTACTTTAGTACAGACCTCACACCGATAAGGGACTCTTTGAGGTCCGCGAGACCTCCTCCCCCAGCGACTTTGGGGCCAGCCTTAACCAGATACCTGCTGCAGGCCCTGCTCCCTCATCCAGGTCCTGCTTGACTGTTCTCTCACGTCTAGGCCCACCCCCAGCCAAGGGTCAGCTGGAGGTCCCGATCTGTCATCCAGTTCCTGCCTCAGGCGAGGTCACAAGCCCCGCTCCCCAGCAGGAATTCTAGGAGAGGCTGGGACCTATTGTGCAAATACTGCCCCAGGCGAAAGCTTGAAGGAAGGCTCAGTTTCATCACACAAGCTTTTGATCCCCGCAAAAATTTTACCCCAAGACTCTTAAGTCCTCTCCGTCCTTCCCACCAGCAGCTTGGTTCTCAAGCGACCCCACCCTCAATGAGCTTTGTTATTTCCAGGTGCCCTCCCCCACTTCCTTTCTCTAATCCCATCTGGTTTCGGTGCCCACTTGCTGCCTACCTCCTGAATTCTCTCCCCCAACCCCGAGCCGCCTCATTTTATAGATGTCAAAAATGAGGCTCAGAGAGGGGCAGCCTCTCCTCCAGGTCCACTGCTCGTCTTTATTCCTTAGCCATCCCCCGTGGTAAGAACTAGCAGATGAGGCTTCTCCCCTCACTGGTCCCTACTCCCCTCCTCATGCCTAGTCTAGGACAGAGCGCCCATGGTGACCTTGCCCATGTCAAATAGTGCTCGACTTTCGTTTAGTCCACAATACAGTCTCGATTCTGTCTTTGCTCCAAGCCCCAACCTCTGTGAGTTTTGCCCCGCCCAGCACGCCTTTACTTAACCCTGCACGAAAAGCCGGGTCCCAAAGGCTGTATCCGGGAGAAGACTTAGTGGGGTTCCCATTTTAAGCTCTGTTGGAAGCTCAATCAGCCCGCCCCATCCCTGCTTTAAGTCCTGGTTTCTGTTTGCTGTGCCATCAGTCTGGCTTCCCGCTCCAGCTCCCCACTCAGATTATTCGGAAAGCCCCGCCCTTGTCATCATAACCCAGTCCTGTCCTCCTAGCCCAGCTCTCCAGCGTTTAGCCCCTCTTCTGCCCATGACCCCATCCCTCCCTGTCCCCACAGGTTCCTGCCACCGGCTCAGGATGGCTTCGAGGTACTGGGCGCAGCAGAGCTGGAGGCTGTGCGTGAGGCCTTCGAGACCGGTGGCCTGGAGGCGGTGCTGTCGTGGGTTCGCGCGGGCCTGGAGCGGCTGGGCAGCGCACGGCTGGACCTGGCCGTGGCCGGCACGGCTGACGTGGGCCTCGTGCTGAACATGCTACTCGGGTTGGATGCTGGTGACCCAGGTGCGGTGCCTGCTTCGGCGCCCGCGGGGACCACGCCTTACCCGGCCCCAGAGCGCCCCAATGTGGTGTTCTGGACCGTGCCTCTGGGCTCCGCGGGCACTGCGGCCGCCCCCCACCCAACCCACTACGACGCCCTCATCCTTGTCACCCCTGAGGCCCCCACTGAGAAAGACTGGGCTCAGGTCCGGCCCTTGGTGCTACCAGATGCGCCGCTAGTCTGCGTGCGAACAGATGGTAAGGGCGAAGATCCAGAGTCTCTGGAAGAGGAAGAAAAAGTAGAGAAGCCCAGCTGCGAGAGCTTAGAGAACGCAGGCGGAGAGGGGTTGGAGAATGCAACTAGTGAGGGAAGGGAGAAACATGGCACTGGATCGCAGAAAGCAGGCCATGGGGAAGGTTTAGAGAAAGGAGGCCATGAGAGTTTGCAGCAGGTTGGCGTCGTCGCGAAGAAATCGGGCAGCGGGGACTCAGAGCGGGCGGCCTCATTGAGCCCGGAAGACGAGACGTGGGAGGTGCTCGAGGAAGCGCCGCCGCCCGTGTTCCCCCTGCGGCCGGGCGGACTCCCCGGGCTCTGCGAGTGGCTGCGGCGCGCGCTCCCCCCGGCGCAGGCGGGGGCGC